AAAAGCAAAATTATAAAAATTTTATAAATAAAAGTTCTCAGTAACTGTTATCTAAGACATATAATATAAAAATTAAAGATAACTGTTATTTGCAGAATATTTAGATACAAATTAAAAATAATTATTATTTTGGATTTAAACAATATTAATAGGATGAAATGTTATTATGGATTTATAAAATAAAAATAAAAAATTTATTTTCAAATTGGATTTTCGGTGAAAAAAGAAATCGATTGATATGTATCAATTAGTTTTAGAACATTTTCTTCATACGGAATTTTTCAATGACAGTTTTCAACAACAAGCAGTTGCATGCATAAATGATTATTCTTGTTCCGACTTCTATAGTCTATTAAATCGTTGTAATCCTCTAACGAAATATTAATAAGACCGTTTATGTAAAGCTTATACGAACTATAAACTACTATAAACGTCAACGAAAGTACTGTACATTGGTAAATATTCGATTCAATTACGCGCATATTAAAATGACCGCGTTCGTACTGAAAAAGCATCCGTGAAGTGAATAATCAAGACAAAAACTAAAAAACAAAAATTTTATTTGCATGTTGCCTGCAGTGGAATTCGCGAACCCGACCAANTATATTGGTAAATATTCAATTCAATTACGCGCATATTAAAATGACCGCGTTCATACTGAAAAAGCATCCGCGAAGTGAGTAATTAAGACAAAAACTAAAAGAAACTATTTAATTTGCATATTGCCTGCAGTGGAATGCGAACCCGACCAACTCCGGATATCAACAGCTTGTGGCAAGCATCTTTGCGCACTCAGCTACACCCAGGTATATAAATTTGCTTTCAAATGTTGAATATCCATCGACACCACAGCACGCGATTTGTACGGATAATCATGTATGTACTATGTATGTATGTGTCAGAGCGGCGCTGTGCATGCTTGGGGTGCGTATGTACACTTACATATACATACTGAGATGTGAACAATCAAATACGTGCGTAATAAATTTTGTATGAAAATAGTATTTTTAAATACGAACATTTTTAAACGATAATCAAATATAAAGTATTCATTTTTAGTATGCATTATTTCCCTCAGTGTAGAGCGTAAAAACACTCATATTTCTAAATGGTTCTCTTTTTTATAAAGCAATCGCAATTTTGGCTAGTATATTTCAGGACGAATGGATAATTATTGAGCCAAGAGCTTGTGTGAGCAAATCCCATTTTTGGCAGCCACGGTTTTGCAGAATGACGATAGGCGGTTTTGTACTTTAAACGACGATATGAATATGAGAGTGCATCACCACCCAACAAAAAAAAATATCGTTACTGTTTTTCCATTGGAATTATAAAACCTACTATATTTTAAGACGTCCACCAAAATATTTCGGAAAAATATTAAGATTTAAGCGAGCTGGACTGATTTGAAAATACCTCCAAAAATGGAGTTCTTTATGAATAAAAATAGTTTCGTAAAGATGTTTTTTTGAAAATATCCCCCTCAAATGACAAAACGGTTAAGCTCAAAAAATTTACATAAAAATATTAAAAAGAAATGAATATACATACATATTTACGTGTCTTACATACATACTTATGAATATTAATCATCGAATTAATATTGAAGTGCTGCTTATCAACAAAATTTGAATGCTATTCAATTACAAAGATACACATACATTCATAGATACATACGTGTGGGGGTATATACTACACAAACATTTATGTATACATTCATGCATAGCTATGTGTGTACAGATGCACGTTTAAATAAGTGATTGCCATTCCAATTAATCATTCCACTCGAAAAAATGTCAAATCAGCCCGCAATCTTTCGGTGCTACATTCTCCTTCAGTAGCGGCAAAAGCCATCTTCAAGTGGCCCTAATAATGGCCCTGAAATCGAAGTAATCAGCTAACAAAAGCACATATGCTCGAACAAAATATTATTTATCAAAAGATAAAATTCCGCAAATCATTGATGCCACCCGCATTAGTGCCTTGGCAAATTTGCTTTCGATTATCGGGTGTTTTTTTTTATTTTCTTAAATTTAGGTATTTATGTAGAGCATCCATTACCATAACCCACAAATTACCAACGCCCCCTCCTTTAATGAGCAGCAATAAAGCAAACAACAATCGAACTGGCCGATAACCGAACTCATTAAGTTAGAGCAAATATCGATGCTGCAGTTGTGCGAATTTACTTTAACGCCAATGACTGCAGGAAAGCAAACGTCAAATATAAAAAGTCATTGTAATAGTTTTCGTTTCACTGCCGTTAAATAAAACAAATATTTATACTTCATAGTACTCCAATTGTTTTAGCATTTAAGAAATCTTCAGCTTACAGCTCGAACTTGAGGCAAGCACCAACAATTATATGTATGCTACCTAAAGGTGAAAAGGTGCCAAGTCCACTTCTTTCCAAAAATTAGTTTTTGTTGCAGAATGATAGACAATGCGAAACTATATCGATTTTTTGTCTCTTCTGAACAATTAAAAAAAATGAACTTGTCACCTTTTCACTTATAGGTAGCGATGTGTATAAATTCATTTCTTTTGGTGACGGCCTACAAAGCTCTTTTTTTATGTACATACATATGTGTGTGTAGTATATCCATACACCGGTGAGCTTCTGTTCGTTTTTCGCAAGTGCGTAACTTGCTGTTGTTATTGTACAGAAATTCGCAGCAACAAAATAAAATCGAGAGTATTTAATCGCCAACGAAGGTGAAGTGCACCACACACTTATCCTATTAACGCCGTTGTTTTTATTTAAAAAAAAAAAATGCAGCTTATGTTGTTGGTTTGTGTCACCGCAGCAAAAGCAGATGGTTTTCATTATTTATTTACTAAAACTTATATGTACTTGTATGTATGCACGTATTTACACATGTATGCAGGTATATATACTTCGATCAAGCAAAGAGTTGCCGTGGCGATAAATGTTTATAAACATATGAAAGCTATCAACTGCCAGTGAGTGATGGGCACTACTTTAGTAGTATTATTTGGTACTTTTGTTAGTTATAAATGTACATATGTATGTATATATAATGCGATGCAAAATTGTTCTTTTAGTATAAGTCTATCTTTAGTATTCTCTTAAAATTCTAAAATTTGTTTTTCAAAACCAATAATTTGATATTTTGTCATTTATTATTTTCAAGCCCTCAATAACTCGGCCATTCAATCAATAGTTTTCGTTAACCTCAACAAACGGTAGGCCCGTGAAAAGAGCTATTTAGCTCAAATATTGGATATGTCTTAACTGCGCCAGAGTTACGTGGGTCGTCCGACACAGCTGAAGTTATTCGCATGTGATGGGTCTTCATTGAATTCCGACGACCGCATTCTCTGCGTAAGAATAGGTAAAGGCGATGCAAGTTTTATCAGTGAATATTGTTGATGGTTTGTGTGTACAACATTAGATCTGCTCTGCTTTCAGCAAGTACCTTTACGGATATTCCCTACGGTAGAAGCCGAGCATTTGTTTCCTGACAGAAAGCAGTGAGTTCTTGTTGACCAAACTGGTGCTGCCAGCGAATGCCTTTGGAATTGGCAATTATAGTTATTTGAGAAAGCTGTCAAAGATAATCTTCTAAATTAATATTTAATTTCATCTAGCGTCGTCGATAGTTTTGTAGGGGAAAATATAATGATTCTTGCAGTGGAAAAGAGAAAAAGATCGTAGAGTTAACCGTTTCCTACAAAACACAGGTCATAAATGCCACCGCAACTCCCCTAATTGAAAATGCTTAGTTCTTCTGTACCTGAGCTTTCATTGCACAAGAAGATCTTCCTTTGATACCAGCATCGTGATCAGCGATAACCCCAGGTTTACGGCATTAAATGCAGTGGTGGACCTGCTAAAATTTTTTCAGCCAACCCACTGGCCAAATATTTCCTAAAACTTTGAATTTTATACAAAATAGATTTCATCCATTAAGCAGATGGGTGAAGGTCTTGCCTTATTTGGATCTTCTACTAAAAGATTTATTTTTGTATTTCTCCCATCTTACAATCATTTGGTGGTTCACAAAAAGTGTTATTTCTCATATGTTAAATTTAAATGAGAATTCTAATAAGACTTTCATGAAATCCCCGTTTCATGCAACGTATAAATGTATTAGAGTTCTTTTATATATTAAAAGCAGGATGGTTCCGGTGAATATCACACACAACTCCAGATATTTCAAGACCTTAGCGACGAAATAAAATAAAACAAAATATAATGAAATTACATTCAATTAATCATATAGATTAAATAGCGAACAGTTTCCCTTATACATGTCGTCGCCTGGGTAAAAGATTGTCGTATGTTACGCACGTACGTATGACGCTTACGACAATCTTTTACCCAGACGACGGACGATATGTGAGAGTATCAACATGCCCAATCGAAAGACTTAAGCAACGAACTTCCCCCCTCATTGAATCTACATATAATAAAGACTCAAATCGATTTGCAAACTACCGGCTTAAGTCTCCAAAAAATGACAGAACGTAAATCGCTCTCTCACACTCCCACTTTATGTGCTCTAGCAACATTTCGACGTTTCAGAAACCATTTCGCGCACTCACTTAAGCAGCACAAATTGTTGAGCTCATCTTCCCGTTCAAGCTTGTTTTGTCGATCACCGACAGCAACAATTGAATTTTACGCTGACGCCACTTGCTCGTTGTCTACGATTGCTAGCGCGCTTTGTTTTTTTTTTTTTTGTGACCAGTTGTGCTATTCAAACGTGCGACGCTGCTGCAGCGACGCGATTGGGTTCATCTCCGCTGCCGCAGCAACTGCTGTTGATTGCTTTTGGTTTGTTGTTCGCATTGTTGTGAAGATTTATGCCAGCGGCAGCTGCCTGCGCCTGTGTCTGTGCCTCGTGCTCAGTCTCAGTGACCCAGTGTGTGCTCGTGTTTGTGAGTGCACCTCGCGCTGGCTGCTTATAGAGGTGGCACCTTGTGAATTTTTATGCCCAAATGTGCATGAATGAAATTTCAGTTCTTAACTTAACTTCGAAACGAACGGTTGTGCGATTCCAACAGCTTCAGCGTGTGGCTGGTTATATATATATATATATATACATAAAGGAAATATATATGTACATATATAAACATGTAAATTAAAAACGAGTGTGAATTTTTAAGAAAACAGCAATCACTAGTTACTAAATTTTATTTGTGAGAAAAATTGTAGTGCTGCGGAATAAGTCGAAAATTTTTTGTGAATTTTTATAACCAAAATTGTAAATTTCACGTTTCCCACTGACCTAAATCACTTTTTACTGTCGCACTGGCTAGTATTTAATCGTATTACATATGTACATACACCGCTCAGCCAGCAAAGCTGATGAGCCCCCGATTGTTTTGTCCTAAAATGGAAATGTGGAGAATGAAAAATCGCATTCTGCGCAAATGTTAACAAGTTTTCCTTGGCAATAATGTTCGCAGCGCCCACAACTTCGCGCAATTTCGCGCTGAAACAGCCAGCCATGAAGCAATGACGCCAGCGGCACTCGCCGCGGTGCAACAGATTCAGTCGTCGGTCGGCCAGGGAATTGGCAGACAAGAACGCTCCCCAATCGCATCTCCCCTCGGCGCGTCCGCATCGCTGGGCGCTCGTGCTGTCATCGTTGATGCTGTTGCTGCTGCTGTTGCTGCTGCTGGTGCATTTGATTTTGCTGATGTTATGTTGTTGTTGTTGTTTTTGTAACCGCATTCTCGGTATTGCAGCTTAGTTTTAGCGGCAGACGACGCGCATGCGCACGCTGTGATCTTTTGCACTTTAACCATTTCACGCGACTCAACAACAACAAAAACAAAACAAATGCAACAAAGCATCGAGTCACAAGACCATATTCTTCTATCGAAATTTGCGCGAATGAGTTGCAAGTGGTGCGCAGAGCTACGCTTTGGTAATCGAGTGTAGCGGGTTTACTAACACTTTTCAAATTTATTTGGCTGTCACTACCTTTGTAAATAATTTGTTGAAAATTTTCACATATTTCCCTCTGCTTTTAATTATTAATTTCTATCGTTCGCAGTAAACTTGAATTTTACGCAAATACATGCAAAACTTTACAAACTAGGCAAAGTATAATTCAAAATTTCAATTACAACTCTGTGGGTGCTTTCCAAGTTTGCGTATTTCATTTCGGTGTTTTTCAAAGCCTCACTTAAAAACTTGTCTTACCATTTCTTTTAGACATTGCTTCATGGCATAATATTTTTTTTGTTATTCCCCATTGTTAAACCAACTATGTATGTATGTACATTTGGTTTTTAAATTATTCAAACTACCATTTGCGAAAATTCATATTTGTACATACATACATACAATAGTAGTAGCCGTCACAACAACTAAGAGTTTGGCAAACAATAGAGGATTCCCAAACAAAGCGATAAATTATTCTTTTTTCGCGTAGAAAAATATTTAATTTTGCTTAATTTATAAAGTGTTATTGTAAAGATTTATAGAAAATTATGAGTGAAAAAATTTGAAAAGAAGAATAGCAAATTAAAAAAATTAACACTTCAAAAACAATATTCGTGCAAATCTAGCGCTTGAGTGGGATGCTATTTCTACCACTAACGGAATATTTCCCGAGAATCAAGGTAAGATAAAAGTTAATATTTGAGATCCGCGTTAAGTGTCATTAAGTTTTAGCTCAATTAAGGAGCGTGTGACTATAATGTTGATAGTGATTTTCCTTGAGAAAAAAAATTAATAAATAAAATAATAAAACAGTCGTCGTAGTTGGCAAAAATCTAAAAATTTGTTGTCTGCAATGTGAACCTCTTAGGTATTTTTTTAAGGGTAATTTATCCACTAAAAGAAATAAGGTGAAATTTTTCTTTATTTATAGAAATATTCAAAATAATACGTTTGTCAGAAAATGCGAAAAACTATTTCTGAGCACATGATAATCATATTTCTTTAACAAATTATAACAAAAATTTGCTCCAGCTTTTGCTGAAAGGTAAATAAAAGTTCTGCGTACATTTCTAGCGCATAACCTCAAAAATGAAAAATTTTTAGTTGTGACTCTTTCGAAGACGGTGTGCGACATGATTATGTTTTGTAATCTTAAAGATTTATCTTTATATGGCAGGTGCGGATCCAAAGGTGAAAGTATAAGAAGTTGCATTTCAATGGCTGAGTGGAAGATCGACATATCTCGGCAGCCAATTCGAAACGCTCTATCTCAGAAAAATTTTCAACAAAGGCCTATTTCAGAATTCGGTTAAAAAACGCCCTATCTAAGCACATTTTCAATATGTTTTCATTTGAGATAAGGCATTAGTGAACCAAATCCTGAGATAGGGCATTCTTCAACCAAATTCTGGACTAGGGCGTTCTTGAAAAGTTTTCTGAGATAGCGCGTTTTCGAACTGACTGACGAGATCGACCTATCTACTCAGACACGGATATATTATACATATGTATATTCTTATTAAATAATTCGAATTTAACTTTTTAAACAGGTTGCAACCCTTCCTAAAAGTATTATAAGTTTTCCAATTAAATATTTCTAATACTCTTTCGTTTGACACACCTATTCAAAGACTTCATATATGTACTTAACTTTACAAAAAAGGTGGCAACCCTCTTCTAAAACCTTCTATAGTGATATATATTTCAATTAACTAGTTTCCTTAATTCCAGTTGAATATGATCTTTTAAAACAGGTGGCAATCCTCCGGCGTGTCGTTTAGAGATAAAACCTTTTCAAAATCATTTAGACTGATACCGATATTGTAATAATTCATCTCATTAAATAATTGGGTTTTATTTTTTTAATAGGTGGCAACCTCTTTCAAGGCAATAAAACCTTATTGCCAGAGACCATAACGATTATAAGAAATAAAATTAAATCTTGTGTGTAATTATTATTGAACAATGGAAAAGTTGTTTTCGTCTCCTAAGACGAAAATCATTGACCAAAAGTTTTCCATCTTCTCCTAATAATTATCGGCGACATTAATTTCTTTTTGTCTGCGGGACGTTTATTTCAAGACGGAAATGATTTACGTCTTCTCTTAATAATTATATGGGACTTTTATTGAAATTAAACTTCTTAATTAACCTCGGAGGTTTAACGCGTTAAATATTTAAGGCCATGATTTTTCATGTCATGAAATCTGTATCGTTCGTTCGATTTTCAAAAAACGAGGTGTCAAATCCAAGGGCTTTGTTTTTACGTGGTTTTAGTTTTTTGAAAAGAATGTTAGCAAATCAAATTCCAATAATTGAGCTCGGAGATATTTGCGTTTAATTTCGTGAAATCGGCAGTACATTTACCGATTCAAATTAAGATAAAAAAAAGTCCCGAGATACGAGAAAAATAAAAATCGCATAAATTACTATGAAAAGATATAAAACAATTCCGCCATAAAATAAACGCCTTGCTTCATGAAAAAGGTAAATATTTCTCGTAAATAATAATTGTACAAATACAAAAGAAAAACTCTCTTAAAACAAGGCGGCGTTTTTGATCAAAAATATTAGGATAATAAGTATTTTGAGTCTCTTAAAATCGAGCCAAATATATGTTCTTAACACAAATTTTCAACTTGAAACTGCATTTCCAGTGAAAGTATGTTTGTTATTAAAAAATAAATTGCATTCAGCATACTCAAGCTCACTAAGAAACCAAATTTTCATTTAACTCCACTCATAATTTTATTTTGCCCACATTTTATATGGAAGGGAAGCACTGTGCGTCATCATAATCATCTCAATTAAGGCCTGCGATTAATTAAGAGGCGACTATTTGAAACTTGCCGTAAAGGAACTACGTTAGACAGGGTCTCAAAAAAAGTTTACATTTACTTTTTATAAAATCAAGGACATTTTAAAGCGATGACTTTTTCTGGAAGCGAAACTATGGCAAGTAATTTTAAAGCAAAAAACACAACCGACTTCAATTCTCATAAAAAAATTTAGGATGGCCCGAAAATTTGTATGACAATAAAATCTTCTCAAAGTAAGCTTTCAAACTAGGGGGAGGGGACTAATTTTCCTTAAAACTAAGGTTATACTTTGCTTTTAAACTTAAAATCATTTCACCAAAGTTATACTGTTAATCTAGGAGCTCTAGTTCTCGGTTGCGTAATATCTTGTTGATCGCAAACACCTAAGTACAACAAAAGGAATATAGCCCATTATTGAGAAGCGACTAGGCCATCAGAGGGTAGCAATCTGTGATATCCAGCGGGATTTAAGATATAACCAGAAAAACTCCAATTTGTATTCCCCTTGGTGAAAAGCATTTCTGCTTTCAAAATCTTCATTACAGGCCAGGCCAAGCTTCTATCAGTGCCCGTTCTCTATTCTCTTAACGTAACAGTCATCGCAGGAAACTGAGCTAGAATCCTCCGCTGTCTTGACGCTAAAAAATTTGTCCATGCTACATCTGAAGTTCTGTCTTTCAGAATTTTTTAAGTAAGGCTGGGACAGATTTGTACTCTCCATCCGTTTTTTCAGCTTATAGATAGAGACCCTTAACCTATGTCCTATGCCTTCGAATTTCTTCTGTCACCATGCGAGTAGTGTAAGCCTCGCAAATGGAAATAATTTATGATAAGCCAATTTTGTTTTGGATGTCAACACTTCTGTTGCGGTTTCAACATTTGCACTGCAATTGTTTCAGGTTCCCAAATCTATTTCATAAAAATCCCAGTTTGCGTTTGTAAGATTCCAGAAAACTTTGTTGTTTATACATACATTTATTAGCCTGCTTAAACGATTTGCAATAGCACATAAAAGGCAGGAATAATGCAAACTCTGTCACAAAAGTCGCCCAACAATAACTCGGTATATATGTATGTACATACATATGTGCATACTTACACACATACAAACGTCTGTATATCGATGGCTCAGTGGAAGATCGACCTAATTCAGCAGAACGTTCTAAAACTCCCCATCTTAGAAAACTTTTCAAGAAAGTCCTGCTTCAAAATTTGTCTGAAAACGCCCTATTTCAGAATGTTATTGAATAATACCCTATCTCGGAACTAGGCTGAAGAACGCCTTATCTCAGAATTCGATTCAAAAACGACCTATCTCAAACAAAAATGCATTGAAAATGTTCTGAGTTAGGGCGTTTTCAAACTGGCTGTTGAGATAAGTCGATCTTTCACTTAGCCATCGATATGTATGTACATGAATTTTTAGTAACAATTTTGTGAATTTAAAATTGAATAACTTCCCATGGAATAATGTGTTACTTTCTAATGCATTATGCTATAACCCGATCGTCAAATTCAGTACTAATTTGCTATATTTAAATAATGGTTAATGGGAAACAGCAGCATTGCAAATTTACTTATGATTTTTTTTTTGTTCAATTCATTAAATTTCTCAGGGCACTAAAATCGCTTGATTGAGTCTTAGAGGAGGAAAGTTAGCTCTCTTTGCGGCCATAATAAATAAAATATACAAAAAAGTAGTTACAATATATCCAGACTTTTATTTTCTTAAATTTGGTTTATGAAGCTTAACACCTTCATATTTGGTCTTAAAAGCTACAAGTAGTGGCATTTATGTACATTGCTGTAAAAAAATATTGCGGTAGTAAAAAAGTACTTAATGAGTATGAAATAAGTATCTGCGCTTTTGTTAAATTTCCTTGGCTACCAAACATAGAAGAACGTACAAGTGAATTGAATTAAAAGTCAACTGCGAATAACTGTTTCGTGAGAAGCTTTTTGAATGCAACATATTCGCCTTCAGCAACATATTCTCAATACATTGTCTCATCATTGCGGCGCAACAATACCATAATTGTTGTTGTGTTTTATAATTGTTGTTGTGTTTTACAGTACATACAATGAAATTATGTTTTCAGGCAATGTAATAGACAAACCTATACCCCCATACATTAGTTACATATGTACATATATGCATACAAGAAAATGACCTCGCTTCTTTAACAAAACACACCCTTGCGCTTGCGCAAACATACACGTGTACATAATTGAAATTTAATAACTTCCGCAACAGGCGATAGCTCATTTTTCAAATTACGTTAATAAGTAAATAATTAAAGACATATTTATAAATAGAGTATTTATGTAACCACAGCAAAAAAATTACTCGAACAAAGAAGATTCACGCAAATGACAAAAACCTATCAAAGGCTCCTGTTAAATAACTAAAATTTAATATCTCTAGCGGAAATCAATGAAAACATGGCGCATGTGTGCGAATCGGTTGCCATTAAAAAAAAGTTTGAAATAAACCAAAAAAAATTAATAAAAAAAAAACTCATAAACAGCTTTTTGCATTGTGGCAAGGAAATTAAGTAATTTTTGATCAATTTAATTGTGGAAAAATGAAAGTGCAATATTACCACATAATCCCTATTTCGCGAGTTACACGAATACATAGCGCTTACCAAAGCCAAATTCAACGAAAAAGTACACAGCGCAGCAGCGTTTGCTTTCAGCAGGAACTTCGGGCTACCAATCGCCATTGTTGTTCAAAAATTTCGTAACGGCTGCCGCTGGTTTTATTTATCCATTATTCTCAACTTTTCAAAACGCTGAGACGCTGGTGGTGGCGCTGGTGGTGTCGAAAAAAGGTCAATAAACCCCAAAGCAATAATGGC